TACTACTTATCTTCTCTCTTCTCTCTCTCTCTCTCTCTCTCTCTCTCTCTCTCTCTCTCTCTCTCTCTCTTTTTTTTTTATTTTCCAAGAAAAGATCGTATTTTTGTAGACTGCCGTTTCCTGTTGATCCGATCTGCCGGACTCGAATCCGACGTGCAACGCCACGAACGACTAATTATCCGACCTAGTTTGAGATATAATAAATTGGGTTTTAAGCAGGCACTATTCAAAGCTCCCCGTCTTCCACACTTCAATTTGTATATATTACATTTAAATACCAATCCGTTACAAATCACTACGCTCGTTTGAACTTTGAAGTCTTTCTTGCAGTGGTATGTGGTTGTATAATGTTAGGAAATACCGCCTGAAATAAAATATAAACGCCTAAAATCCTTCGCTCTTTTTCTTTTTGCTAGTAGATGGAACGTTAATACGAAGCGAATTCAAATGTCCCGGTTCCCTGGAGAGTGATATAAGTTTCGTTTTATCTTTTTATTTCTCTCATGCCGAACGTATTCTCTTCTCGACTAATTAATTAAAAAACGATTAGTCTCTATCTTCTGTATATAACATCTTTATATACATTTAGTGGCAGAGGCTGTGTGTCTGCGAGGTGTAAGCTTCCACGTTACATTCAACAATAACTCGATGGTCTGATTAAGAAAAAAATTAATTCTCGGCAAAGGAATTCCTTGTCTGGAGAGAATGAAAGAAATCCGCTGTCTTAACTCGACAACGCGCGAAATGTTTCTATTCCGCTAGTAACTGGCCCAAGAAGCGGTCAGGCAACCGTTCGAGATTAATAATTACCCTGTTTTCCAGACTAGTGTAATTATACTTGGACATGTGAAACGTCAGATCTTGAAACACATTTAAAATTCAACTGCGAATAGGCAGGGTTCAACATAAAGCGTCCCATCTTGATAACATCGGCGAGGGGAGAACATGCGTTCGAACAATTAACAGATAATATCCCGGTTTCTCCTTAAGCAGACGATCGACACTTATTATCTATCATATGCCGGTATATACAGCCTACTATTAGTATTTGTATCCGTTATCATTGCACCTCCATTAAATGTATAACCCTAAGATTCCTTTAATCCTAGCTAGGAAGCCAAATATTTCGAGTGTTACGCTATGTCTTTGTCGCTTACAAGACGGACTTCTATTATTGGGGCCAGAGAGGCGTATGAGATGTGCGAAAAAAGAAAAGAAAAAAAATAGAAAACATCGATTCGGGACACCAAATGAAATAATTTCGGTCTGTGTTCACTTCCGACGATGATGGTCGAGTTACAGGGAACGTATCGATACAAGCTACTTGCGTGACGCGTATTTTTTTTTTTTTTTTATATATATATATACGTAAAAGCGATTAGAAATTGTTTAATCGTCGCCTACATCAGAAATTTCTCTTTCTCTTTCGCCTTTTTATTTTTCGGTTTCTATTGTGTTATTTAACGAGAAAACTAAGAATCCTCGCGAATAGTTTGTTCAAATAGATACACGTTCATTTGGTCAAAAAAAGGAAAAGAGGAACCATTTGGCAGTACTATCTTACAATATTTTTCATAATATAACTATAATCATAGTATATCATAATATATCATAATTGTCTCTAAAGAATCGTAAAAAAATTTCATGAGTAGCATCATGGAATTTGATAGTTGGTTAGATAGTTTGTCTGATATATAAATGTTCCGTCTGCATTATTATTTAAAGTCACGCAGGTATAGACCCGAGTTTCTTCAAGACGAGTGACAACAGTCGTTAACGAATCTTGAATCGTAACTGTGTTCTTTCGATTAATTACAGAAACGTCGATCAACATCGAGTAAACTAAATTTGCTTCTGTTGAAGATTGTTTTGCGACTGCAGTACAATAATACTCAGACGCGGACTCGTTGTGCGAATTTGCAAGATGAAAGGAATACCTGTAAGTTGGGGAAAGAGATATCCTCGCGATAGAAACGTTTTCGTTTGTGCTGGACAGAAACGCAATCCACGCGAGGTATATATCCGATTACTAACTCAGAGTCTTTAATTAAACCCGCAAAACTGTCGATCCGCGGACAATCCGAGCGGAGATCCAACGGGGAACAGGAGCTTCGTGTGTCATTTATAGGCGACGACAGTTACACACGACTGTGACGTACTACCGGCGTGTGAGCCGCGCGTTATCTTTCAGCATGAGAAACGGCACGATGGACGCTATCCGGTGCGCCCCGATGGCACGACGGATCGATGACGGCTTTATATTCGGATGTGGGTAACGCAAGAAAGTTTTCACGGCTAAAAATAAAAGTCTGCACGAGTGAGTTATGCACACCGACCATGCGAGGACGGAAATACATGGATGTATGTAAGGTGTACACTTGCGAAGAGAGCCTCAGGGCAGTTAATGAGCAACCCGCGACGTAGCCGCTGGCGCGCGCGGGCACAACTTGCACACAAAACGAATAAGCGAAAGCTCGCGTGGAAAAGTGGCGGATTAATTCTGTAAAAGTCAGGAGAGACTAAAGAAAGTGGTTTCCAACGGTCATTTAAAATTAGCGTGCACCTACTCTCTATAGCTCGACGTCGACGATGACGAAATTAGCATACAACTACGGAGAGTACGGACTGTAAATAGAATGGATACTTCGAATTGTCTTTCGCGCGCGCGCGCGCGCGGGGAGGATGGGGGTGAGTTGCTCGTCTCTCGTTTAAGGAATCATAGGGCAATGACGTTTCGCGCCAACCTTAGTCGGACTCTTTTTCCCTTCTTTTTCTCCTCTGGATCGGGAGTCCCACTCTTTCTCTCTCTTTCTCTCTCTCTCGCGCGCGCAATCTCGAGCCGCGAACTTAAACGCCCCTTCGCGAGTTTCGCCTTACAAAACGGAGATAGGTCTCTCTTTCTCTCTCACACTATTGTATATATGTTTTGATTTGATTCTTTCGTTAATGTTATACAAGTCCCATAGTGATATCGATTCGTGAATGCTTGGTCTCTCATGTGTATCACCATTTAACGTCGCTAGTCATCGCGGTCTTCCTCGGCGTTACGTATTAAGCACTATCGCAAATCGGCGGGCTCGAGGGTAAGAGGTAGGGGCAAGCTATAGAAGATGAACAGCGGTTGTCAACCCCTTCACTTTCGATGACGATGACGATGACGATGACGACGACGACGACGACGACGAAGAAGACGAGGACGACGACGATGACGACGACGCCAATGACAATGACGACGATGACGACGACGATGATGACGACGATGTCGGCATATTTCTCACGTATATCGCACCGTCCGTTGGACTCGCGCCAGCCAGTAGCTCGCTGGATGTTCATGAGTTATTCTTTTAGAAAAGAAACTAAAATGCCTGATAGAAAGGTTGCGGGGAGGTTTTTCTTTACTTGTATAGCGGTATGTCGGCGCGCCGCCGATTGCTCCTGTACAGGAAACGATTCGAGGTGTTTCGCCACCATCTCCATAGTCAGGTGCGCCTACTCTGACCGCCCGTTACGGTCACTCCCGTGCCCGGGCTGGTGCCGTTCGACAGCAGCAGCCTGCGGTTAAACTCACGCATCTCGTAGTTGTTGTTACCGTTGCTCTTCTCACGACCGCCGCTGGCCGTGTAGTTGTTGTGATTGTTCGCCGAGGTAGGCGTCGTCTCCTCGAGTATCAGCGCGCAATGGCTGTTCGTGTCACTGTCGGCACCGCCGTCCTGCAGGTTGTTCGCCAGCAGCGGATGCCGGCCGGTGTTGCATTCGTCCGACTGCAGCAATAGCGAGGCGTTGCCTAAAAACGAGGGTGACAGATTGATTTTCTCTTCCGCAAAAATAATCGTTCTTCGAATCTTTCCTGTCAAGTATCTCGATTAGTTGTTAATTCTATGTCTCTATTTTGTTATAAATAGTCGATATTCGGATATGACATGAGCTAAATTTAAATGGCAATTAATATCGCGTATTCTCTCGAGCAATGGTCTATTATTATTCAGAATCATCAGATATAGAAAAAGTTCATTCTAACTAAAAGGATCTAGAACGTGGACAGTGCATCATCAAAAGTTCTAGCGTTAATTAGTCCAAATCATCGACATTGGATCTAACAGTATTCACGAGCAAGAGTCATCAAACTAAAACGTACCTGAAGGCGCGACCGCGTTAGGCAATGTTGTGCGTCTCACGATACTGCCGTTGTTGGCCGTTTCCGGCATCATCTGGGTGAAGGGCGGTTGCGCGAACGGCGTGGCCGGCGGCGGCGGTTCCCTCAGCAGTCGTATTTTCTGTATCATTTCCCGTATCTCATAGCGTAGAATGCCGAGGAAGCAGAGCTTGGCGAAGGCGATGACGCAGAAGCCCAGGACGAACAGCAAGTCCGCCGTCTTCCTGAGCCAACGTACGAGCGTCTCCTCGCAGCCGCGCACGTACGGATACGTACACGTTTCGCTCGCGTTCACGCTGGACTCGCAGCAGGTCTGCGGCCAGCGGGATCCGGGAAAGTCCCTGGGCCCCGTCACCCCGCAGCACATGAACTCCCGCTGAAGTCGGTCCCACTGCTCGCTGAATCGTGGCTCTCTACCGTAATCCACCTGCGAACGCAAACGAGAAATCGTCAACCAATGACATGCGTTAATCAATCGAAAACGAGAACTCAAGGGTCTTCGTATTTGTCTCTGAACAAGATTCTATAACTCGGTGTAAATCAGTTTTTTTCAATCGTCATTCACGTTTAATAATATGGACCGATCAACTCTCTGTTTATAGCGAATAAAAGGTACATCATCTACAGGCGGTCATCTATTATTAGTCCCCGAATTAAAAAGAGACTTGGACAGATCAGGGGATCTATCAAGGACAGGTTTCGACATAGAGGAAATTATTCTTCTAGAGTCTATTTTGAAATAGAGTATGAAAGAAAAAGAAGCGCGTTTTCGTCTTTGGTGTACAAAATACAAATACTGCAAATCGACGTCAGGAGCCTTAACGAATCAAGGACTAGCGACGCACCTGTAAACGTAGTCTGAGCGTGGGCCTGAGATCGGCGCGCATCTTCTCGAAGCGGAAGATCCAGGCGACGCCGACCACGGCGTCTCCGAACAGCAGGATCAGCAGCAATATCCAGTAGACGTGGAGTAGCCGTGCGCTGAGTCGCCTGGCGGCGATGCAACCGAGCAGCTGCACTACGCCTAGCTGCGCCGTCAGTGCCAGATAGCCGTAGAGCGCGGTGGGGTCGTAGACGCGAGGTACACCCGGCACCACGTGCCGACGTGGGTCGCCGGTGAACAGGAGGGTCTGCGACACCGCGGCGGCGAAGCCGATCGCGCTACCGAACAGCACCAGGTTACAGGCGTAGATCCAGAGGCGGTAATATCGCATCGCGACGTCCTGACCACCGCCGGCGAGTCGTTGGGACGTCACCGACGACGGCGCCTCGTCGGCGACGTGATCGCGGCTGTTGCTCCTCCGGGCGCCTCTCTTGAAGACGTCGTTGTTATTGTTGTTGACGTTATTATTATTGTTGTTGTTGTTGTTATTATTGTTGTTGTTATTGTTGTTTGTAGTGGTCGTGGTGTTGGTATCGGTCGAGTGCCGATGCTCCTCACGGTCGTCCAGCAGAAAGAGAAAGGGCGGCTTCGCGCTGCAGTCCTTCGTCGCTGTCTTTTGGCTGTGCGTCGACTGCGGGGTGACTGAACGTTGCAGCAGCATCACCGTCATACTATCGTGCCACCCTGGTGTGCGTGTCCTCGTCGTAAGGATTGTGCCCCGCGGACGCGGGGGGTTGAACAGGAAAGACGGGCCAGCGCGCGTTGCACCGTTGATGGTGGCCGCCGCCGCCGCCGCCGCGGTACTTACGCGGGGGAGGTAGTGACGAAGGAGGAGGAGAAGGCCGATCCTCTCTACTCGTGACCGGCGCGAGTCACGCGAGGCACGTCGTGCTGCATCGCCGCACCGGAAGGTCGTTCGTGGTAACATTCATGGTTGTCCCCCTCGTGTCAAGCGCACCGTTGAGCACCGCGATGGCGGTCTTCGGTGTTCTGGCAACCGGAACGCCGGTGAACGGACGATTCTCCTGCAAAACGGATAAAAAAATATTTAGAAAAGATGTAAGAGACATTCTCAAAAATCTATCTGTTTTATCTTTCGAAATCGATCTTTTAGAATTTGAAAATCATCGATTCGATTTTCGATCCTGAATCTCGCGCTTCTTCACCGCATCGCACGATTCGGCGGCATCTCTCCCCCCTGCTCTTCGTCCCTTAATCTAACGGGGACGCGCGGGAATTCACAACGGAATTCAACGTGCGTGCGTTCCCAAGTCGAAGCCAACGGCGGGAGGAGGCTAGCGTGCGCCTCGGCGGATTGTATTTCTTTCTGACAGTTGTAGCGTGCGATAGGCGATTCTATTTATCGATCCTCTGCCGAGTAGCTCTATGTAGCTCCTCCGAGGAGGGACAGAGATAAATCGCGCGAGATAGAGAGAGGATATGCGCCTGAGTAAGTGTATCGGCACGAAGCGTCGCCGGCTCGGCGAGCCGTCGAGGGAAAACTGCAGAGACAACCTATCTGACGAAT